CTCTCTCTCTCTCTCTCTCTCTCTCTCTCTCTCTCTCTCTCTCTCTCTCTCTCTCTCTCTTTTGGTTTCCAATCTAACTCTCAAGGCGTGCCTACACAAAGAAAACTTGGGGTCCAACAAAAAAACACTACCGAACCAACATAATTTTTGCGTTTGGTTTTACTAACAAATAAAAATCTCATTAAGATGACTCGATCAAATCTTAACAACACAAGTTACATGCACTTAATCACTATGACCACTCATCTTTTATAGAGACTTTTTGGGCACTAAATATGAGAAAGTTATCATTGTGTGTTAAATATATTTATTATTTTATAATTTTCTTGTCGTTAATGTAGCTAACAAGAAGCAAAAAAAAATCAAAGAACTAATACATACACAGTAAAATGTGTCAGCATGAATCTTAATGGAATCAAATGATTCAAAGGAAAGTCCCTACTATCGATTGGAACTTCATTCAGAGGATTTTAAATCGAGTTTAAAAGATCGACCAAATGAGGCATCTGCCTAACTGACCGGCAAACCCATCGGGCATAGACAATTGGTAGAGTCAGCCTACCAAAAGTATTAGATAAGACTTAGGCAACCATCATCTAGTGCCAAAATTTAGTTATATTATGCAAAGTGCAAGATTCAACAGTCACGACTTTCCATCATATTTGTGTCCATTCAGTCATTTGTATTAGAGGGGTAGTTAGTTTAATCGCTGGAGGATTAGGTTAAAGGTTATACCCTCTAACTGATAAGAGAGTAAGGGTAATGATGCTAATGATAGATTTAAGGCACTTATGATTATAAATATGGGCTATTCCAAGAAAAAAAAATGGTTACTCATTTTCGCAAATTAATTTCTCTCTCTCTCTCTCTCTCTCTCTCTCTCTCTCTCTCTCTCTCTCTCTCTCTCTCTCTCTCTCTCTCTCTCTCTGTTTCCAATCTAAACTCTCAAGGCATGTCTACATAAAGACTTGGGTCCAACAAAAAAACACTATCGAACCACATAATTTTTGCGTTTGGTTTTACCAACAGATAAAAATCTCATTAAGATGACTCAATCAAATCTTAACAACAAAAGTTACATGCACTTAATCACTATGACCACTCATCTATTGAAATCATTTTAATCATTATTTGATTTCCAAGAAACAAAATCATGTCACGCAACTTAGCAATATTAACGCACACCCATCGCCATCTTAATGTCGTCGTCCGCCACCTTCTTCTTCACCTCTCATAGACAACATCATCTCAACCATGGCAATGTGAGACGTCCCTCCATCCATTATCGCATCCCTCGCCTTCTTCCCTACATCCTCCACTTTCCTACTCAGCTCTCTCCACCTTGTGTATCCATCAGCCACCTTACCCTCTTCTCCACCTCCTTGGCCACCACGAACCCATTTTCATCTCCTTGCATATTAATCGCGAGCTCTCCTTCTTCGACAATAAATAATTTATTCATCTTTTGCTCCGCATAAAGCGGCCAGGCAATCATCGCCACCCCAGCCACCAAGGCCTCCAACACAGAGTTCCACCCACAGTGAGTCACGAACCCACCAACTGCTTCATGCTCTAACAGTTCAACCTGCGGAGCCCATGACCTCACCAAAATTCCCCTCTCCCTTGTTCTCTCCTCACACCTATCAGGCATCAATGTCTTTCTTAAGATCTGGCTCTGTCCACGACATTATACTACCCTTAACCCCTTCTGATAACGGTGGGCCCCTCACAATCCACAAAAATCTTTGCCTGCTGCACTCAAGCCCAATTGCAATCTCCTTAAGTTGGGACTTCGAAAAGGTCCCCAAGCTTCCAAAGCTAAGAAGCACCACACTCCCTCTTGGTTCACTTGGTTGCTCATCTAGCCAAACCAAGCTCTCGTGACGTGGCTCACCGTTTAACCCGCTTCCTGTTATGGGCCCTACACAATAGATTGGGATCATTTCAAGACCCGGGAAGCATACACCGTCCGCAATATTACGAATCACATGGGGTTCCAAAGCCTCAAAACTGTTTACAAGGACACCCTTCGCTAGCTTGGGCACTTGGGCGAATGAGGCGATCATCTCTTTACTCATTAGTACGGTCAAGTAAGAAACTTGGAATGTAAGAAGCCGAGATGGGATATGAGAGGCCCGGGAAGTGGAGTGGGGCATCAACACATTCGTTGAAGTTGGTGTTAGTTTGGGAGAGGAGGGTGGGGATGTAGAGCAAAGCTGAGAGCGTGGAGGCACTGATTGGACAAAAAATGTATATGGGGAATCGGAGCTCTTCTACGATATTACACGTGATTGGTCCGCTAAAGACGTCTAGGATGAGGGCGCGAATGAATGAGGAGGAGAGGTGGAGATATCGAAAAAGGTAGGGCTTGGAAAGGTTGAGAGTTTCTATGAGGTTGGCGAATGGGTTGGGGGAATGGAAGGGTAGGGTTATGGTGGGGAGTTGATGGAAGGAGATGGTGGGGTGGGAGGCTTTGACATTGGAGATGTAGGAGTTGATGGGATCATTATTGATGAAGGGTAGTTCTAGGAGGAGGACATGGACCGTGAGGCCGTGGTGATGGAGGCGCTTTGCAAGCTCAATCATTGGAACTAAATGACCCATTTGACCGAGCGGGAAGAGAACCAATGTGTTGGCCTTCTCCATCTCTACCTCTTCTCACTCTTTTTCAATTAGGACTGCTCACTTCAACTCCAACACATCTCTACATGTTCTTACATAGAGTTAATGTGGTATATATATTGCGCCATAGATACGAAAGAAATAATAGAAAACTTGATATGTTGCAGTGAAAACTCGCCGGAAATAAGCTGGCTGGAATTCCACAATGTAATGTTAAAAAATTGTGCACATGCTAAATAGCCTCATTTCCTCCACAAAATAAACGAAGAAAAGACAAATCAACATGCAAGTTCTTAAATGCAGACAGATAATTAAGTCATGGTTGTATATACATATTTTCTTTGTTAATCTGATGGACATCATCAGAGGCAATGGTGGAATTGGGAGATGACTTAAGAGAGACATTTATCATTCTTAAATTTTTATCAAAATTATTAGTCTTATATAATACTTTATATATATAT